TGGATAAATCCTTTTTATATTGTGCATTCCTCAAATGGAGGCATATTGTCTGTCTAAAAATGGGTTATCATGAATATGGTAGACACCACGACCTGATGGTTTAATTTCTTCTTAATAATATCGGCGATAAGGGCATCAAATAAAAGAACTTGGAGAGTAAAATGCAAAATGCACAGAGCTCGGTATGCGGGATTCGGCCCCTGCCGAATATAACATTCTTGTCTTTATTTTCCACGAAACTCGATATGAGCAATATGTAAAATACTCGTACGTGTAAAAAAGCACTCTCGAAACATTTCATTATATACTACTCCGTTAATTGTAAGAAAAAAAAAAACATTGTCCGTTAGAAGAAAAACTTCTTAGAATAATTTAAAGGACTATCATAACAATTTTGAAGAACGAAAGGACGGTTTAATAGACGCTCATAAGTAAACGGACTTAAAAGCATAAAATTGACTACCGTTTTTGCAGGTGAACAAAACAGAATACATTTGAAATACACGCACACTTACACACATTTTCAGCATAGAAAAAAAGTGTTATGATATTAATATTTTTAATATTTCGTTTAATACATTCGCGAACCTCGACGCTAGAGCGTTCATTTTCATTGTGATGCAAAAAGGATGCAAGCGGACGTTATAGCATTCAAATTTTAATGCCAATGATTTCTCACTTAACTTTTTATTATCGTATGTCTTTTTTAATTATTATTATAGTTCTCGAAGTATTGATGAAATGATTCTTTAAGTTTTTCCACATTACGTTATTTTTTATGTGTGCATTTGCAAATTTACGTAAAATACTTTTAAATTCGTAAATTTCTGTACACTGGAAAGAGAGCAGATTATTTCATTACCTCTATTTTTCTCTTGTTAGCTCTTATACGAGCGCTATTGCATTCACCTCAGTTGAAAAATTTGAACGCCATTGCCGTCGATGCGATAGCGTTCATTGTATGCAACGATCCGATTACTCTTACAAAATGCGTTTCATCAGATATTGGCTATCGCAATTAGTTTTAAAATAAATTGACTGTCATTTTTTGCACCTCATTGAAGTTTTTACTGTCCGTAGATATCACAACAACCGAGGCAAGAACGATCACTTCTACTGTAGCAAATAACAACTAACAAACCTACTCCCAATAACATAGAATCCTCCCACCAATGTCAAAATGTCAATTGTATCGTAAGAAAAGATTAGAAATTATGCCGATTCAAATGAAGCGTTTAATGTTAAATATGTTTGTTAGTTCGTAGAATAGAAAGCGTTCTGATTGAGCGAAAGCGAAGCGAAGCCAAAGATAAAAAGAAATTAAAATTACATTTTACACTCTAGACCAAAATACTCATACCGCAGAAAGAGTTCAGAAAGAATGGGTATCCATGCAGCCAGGCGAGGCTGATTATGTTGCTGTTAAAGTCCAAATGGGCATTACTATCTATGATGAAGTTGTAGAAAATTGCACTGTCTACCATACGACCAAGTGCAATACCTCTACTCTAGACTAGAGGTTTCTTTAACATCATTGGTTTGTTTAATAACTTTGCAATATATTCTACAAATCCAAATGTTTATATAAAAATAAAAAATTGATACAAATACAGTATAAATGTGTAAAATGATATCAGTGATAAAGAGTTTTATTTTTATCTTATCAGGGCCAGTATGGAAAGAGTGATGAAAAATCAGCAGCTGTTGTAAGTCCCGAAAGGTAAAGGCAAACGCTTACTTAGTTCTTGCCTCAACAATGTTTCAAATTAGTTATCAAAAAAAAAAACAAAGAAACAACGTCACAGAATGTTTATGAATAAATCCACACGCGTTTGAAGCATGCGTTAGTAAGATATGCTTATCGTATCTTTGTTACTTGTGAGTGTATTATATAAAACATATTTATGTGCAAACGTATATATATATATATATCTTATGTATTTATTCGCCTTACTATATTCATCATAATCAATAGTATCTGGTCTGGAAAGTCAACATTTCCTTGCCGTCATTCAAGGTGTTAACAAGTGTTTTCAGATTATAAAGCCAATCGCATAAGATCGCTAGCAATTGTTAACCTAATTTTCAAAATATGTTTTTTCATTTCTATGTAATTTTCTCAGTATATATGGTATCAACTTACGGCACAACTCGTGAGTCTAAGAAGAATATCTAAAGACGAAGCTTTTTAGCTTATTTCCTTTGTCTATTTCAATTTTAGCCATATGTTTACAATGCAATTCTACAACTGCAGATTGTCTTCAAAACGTAACAAATATCGGAATAAAAAGATGTAAATTCGGCTCCGATGATAGATGTTTCACAAAAATTGGTGAGTTCAAAGTTTAGACTTTAATGCATTTAAAAATCGAGAGTAAAAGTAAGACATCCTTTCATTCGTATAGTCTTATATTGATATACTTTATCTCAGATTTTCCTAAAATTCGTTATATATACGGTTAAATTCAGTTATTTGGGATGTTTCCAGCAGAAAACTGATTGCAGCAAAATTTGCAAAAACAATCGAATAATTTCCCAATGAAAGTGAAATTGAAAAGCTCTAAGTGCTAACTTAAGTAGTTAAATGCAATTAACTACAATTATTACCAACAAAATATAATCGAGTAGAAGTGTGTGTTACTTCCGTGTAACATTCTATAAAATTTTAAAAAGAGCTGTCTAACTGTGAAAAAGCTCTCTCTTATGCATTTGACAGTTAGCTGCAAAGATTTCGGTTATAGAAAAGAAAAAACGTCTGGAGGAATTTTTCGTTTTGCTGACGTGGAAGCGGTCCCATCGTCCTTTTTTTTCAGAGGACGGTGCGCGTATACAGGTACAGCGATTATGGTCACAAAGGATTGAGCGAAGAGAAAGAGACAGGGAAGTGGATGCAAGCTTAGTGGGCGTGTGCTCACTCCGTTAGGACTATGCCTTTGCTAAGTGAACATTCACTACACCTACGTCGAAAGTCAACTTTACCGCACTGAGATTTGAACATGTGATCACAATTCATAACTATATGATTATTCGTGTCAATGCTCGTGCATGCCGATCTGTCTGTAGTCACCAAGTCAAGTGGCAAGCAATGTATAAAAGAAGCGTCATTATGTTTAATCTTCAATGCTATATTCACTATTTCGATTGCCTAGCCTTGTACTTTATTCACAAAATAATGAGTTCTCAGCTTTCGGTGTTTGCCAGCAAAACGATGGCGTACTTTTTTTTTTTTACTTATCGAAAACACCAATATATTTATTTCAATCCTAATAGCGGGAACTAATGAATTAATTATTTTCATCCCAAAAAACCAGCCATTTTAACATTTTAAGAAAAAAATTTAATCTCCGAACTTGGACAAGAGTCAACTTATAAAACACGTGACAGAGCGTCTGCCATTTAATTTTGATAAAGTAAAGGGTATTGATCCTTTTCGTGCTATGCCACACGTTATACAAAGAAATATTCTGACAGGATATTACATAATTCCGCTGAAAACCAAACCAAACAACCTTAAAAAAAACGCAATTTCAGTGAATATTAACGCAGGGGTCCAAAATGAAAGTGTCTTCAAAATTATACAAAAAAGAAAAAAAATCATTAAGTGAAGTATCTCGCATTTGAAAAAAAAAATATACCAGGTCCTACAAGTCACATCAAACTAAAAATCGTAAGGTTTGCACCAATTTCGATGACAAGATTATTCCGACAGTAGATTATGTCAGGAATATCGTTCAGCAAGCAGTACAGAAGTTAACTTCTCATTTTCCATATACATGATTTAACAAATTCCCTAGGCTTTGTGAGTTCCCTAGCTATATTTAAGAGTCGCTAACAATCGCCCATCTATTGCAAAGCACTAGCTCTTCGTAGAAATGTGGTTATTTGTCTTTATTAGAATTAAAAATAAAATCGAATAAGTAACAACACTATGGTGGACTACGGCCCACTATTAAATTCCCTAAACCGTCCTACAGCTTTCCAAAACACAGTGTTATATGATAAGTGGTTCGATGCGAACAGGCTTCCAATAGCCTTCGTCCTCGGCCTAAAACACATCAGGTTACGAAATTTCGTCAAAGCATCCCAAATATTATAAACCTACACTTGAACAGAAGAAAAGAGGACAGACAGACGGACCGACAAACCCGAATCGGCATTGCCCGGCATAAGAAAAGATGTGCCTATCTCAAGCCCTTCCGGATGCTGCATATAACCCTACAAACTTAATATATTCTTGCGCTACAAGGGTGTAAAAATTAATAGAGAAAATGCGAAGCAGTATGGAAAGGCAAAACATACACATTAAATTAGCGTATATAAAGCTTCAACATGGTGGGAGTTTTTGTGGAAGTAAAAAAAAAAAAAAACCGTGAGAACAAACGCAATATTACTACAAAGCTATTTTTATACCAAAACGTATGGCTATGGGTTCGGTTTTCTTGTTAATTTAAAAAGCGTAGAAGTTTCGAAAGAGGTTGATGTGAAACGCTTTGATTATTAGAGAGTAAAAGATCTCGTTGAAAAAGCCTCATTCAGAGTAAAGAAAAGTCTTTCAAATTGCAGCATAGGAACCTACTGACTGTCCTACGGCTACGCACTCAAAGCCACACCTACTTTAGAAACTTCTTCTTAGAAATTTATAACTGGACGTCGAGACAGAGGCAATGCTAAAGTTCGTCCTATATCATTTGTAGTCAGTTACTTGGTTGTATTGACCCCGATAATTATCTTGGGACTCTTTTTATAAGCTGTAGTAATCACTCTGGACGATCATCAATTTCAGTATTGGCTAATATCCATGTAAAAAATATATAAATTAATGTTTAACATCTAACTATGATTCAACAAATGAGTGAAGTAAAATTGAAAAATAAAACAAAACAGACATGTCCTAACTTATTTTTATGGTTATCGATAAGGAGGGTTTATTTGTATGGTATACAATTAAAACTAATTTAAATGCACTTGTTCGTTTTAGCGAACTTGCATTAAGTAATTGGTATTGATATGGAAACTGAATAGTTCGATGCCATCATTCAACGAGTTAACACGTATTTCTATAAGAATCGTATCAAAAAGAAAAATACCATTAAACTAACTAACATTTATAGAATGTTATCTGTTCAGAGAAAGCTATCATATTTCGTTTTAATAATAGTTTGTATATATTTAAATACGAGTTTAACATCTGAGCCCGAAAATCCGCGTAAGTCCAAAAGAGTGTTTCATTAAATAAGAGTTTTTTAATTCAACGGATGTTCATATTTACGTGATAGGCAAATGTTATCAATGCAGTTCATCAGATGCAAAATGTATTGAGGACTTAGCAAACTTGAGCAAAGATTGTAGCGATTCAAGTTTTAACAGATGCTTTACAAAAATCGGTAAGTTAAAAATGTTTAATTGTTGTTGCGCTAAAAATGTGCTGATGACAATGAATATTACTATTCGAACTTCGTATAAAAATGATTCACCAAACTTGAAAACCATAAGCTTATTAGCTGCGAAGTTTCCTTTTTAACGAGAATGCACTTCGAAAATATGTTAAAAAAACCAATGACAGAGCAAATCTTAGAATATTGCTTAGGAATGCAGAGTTCAGAGGAAGTTAAGCAATCGAAATAAATAAACTGAATTCTACGGAAAATATTTTCTTCTTAACTTCATTGTGAATAATGCTAATTGTCTCCATTGTATCCAATTGTCTCCGACAAAATTTTATTCGTCTGCCTGTACATACAAAACGACCATTGCTTTAAATACGTAATGGATACAAAAGAAATGTATGCCATTTTGATCGACAATCTTTTGCCTTTTTTCCTCCTCTTGATAGAACCATTCATTACACCATCTTCGTAAAGCTCCTGAGCGGTGAACTGAACCAAGCAATTTTCCTAGACTTTGCTTTGAGTGTGCTTTAAGTTGTTCAGAGACTTTTGCGGAGAGTGAAACGAATGGTTGTTGAATAGGAAAAGTAAGGTGTATGCATCAAAATCTTTTGATAGGTTGCTATTATGGTGATGGAAGACGGCCCTTTTACTATTGATCAATTCTGGTGACAGTGAAGATAGTCTTTTGGTCACGTTGTAGCAGCTTGCGTACACAATTCCTTTCCAAACAAAAACCGTCCATCAGGTCTGTGGCCCTTTGCTTTTATTCATTACCGCCTATAACCCACTTTTCGTTGCCTATTGTCGATCTCTTCAACAGTCGTCCGATGTCGTTTCATTTCAGATTCCTTTTGCCACCAGTTTTATGTAAATGTGTCTAAAGCGATTTTTGGTCAATGTTCATTTCCGTAGCGATGTTATGAGATGAAATGTGTTGGCCACCCTTAACTTTTTGAAGAATTTGGAAAAGACTATATCAACAATTGGTCGTCCGCAGGCAGCGACTTTTTAATATCGAAATCTCCAAAGGACGCCATATGCAACATTCTCTCCAAAAGCATGCCGAATGTTTTCACAAGCCTATAAAATCTGATCGTCTTGGCCGAAGTGATAAAATAGCATATATTTTGCAAAACTGTGGCCCAATTACTTGCGAGTAACTTCGAGTTAAAAATTATTCCAATGTTTTTCTTTCATTTACCTATGGACTGTCGTCCTTCAGGTACGCTGCAGTACTGCAAAGTTACACGACAATAGAACGATCTATGAGATCGCCGCAAATCCTTTTCCTTGAATCCATACAAGGCGATTTATCGGCTGCCTACAGTTGTTTAAGCAAACCCTTATAAACGTATTTGCATCATTTTAAGTCTATTCTTGGCGCTTTAAAGATTTTTTTGGCATTTTGGATATGTTTGATGGCGAATAAACGCGATTTTAAATTAGACCCGCCCACTTGAATTGCCAACATAATTTTAATAAAGTTTAAGCTGGCATAAGCTATCTTAAAAAAACAGAAAGCGGAAAAACCACTAATTTTGTTACAAAGCTGTCTTTCCCATTCATCACAATATTCATTCTTGTATTCTCCATCAACATGAGTTTATTGCCATATAAAGCCATTCTTCTCATGAAAACCCTTGTATGGGAAAGGGTGTAAAACATACACTTAAGTGGTCCAAATTAAGTTCGGTTCATTGTAATGCTACGTTAATATTATTGATCAATTTTCCAAAATTGGACTTACATATCGTAGCAACGGTTATGTCGGCGATGGATCAAAAAACTGACCAATTCGAACCAAAATAAGTGTACTGAAATACTATTATTCAGCGATTTTCTAAATTGCTCCCAAACAAAACCCGACCGGCATGTCCTATTTTATTTATACCGTTTTAAATAAGAACAATAAGAACATTAAAGTCAGGGAACATTGGCCAGGAAACACCCTACCAACCAGCCCAATTCAACTGATACAATTGATCCCTTACGTTCGCAATAAAATATCAAAAATTATAGGTTATTTTAATGAGAAGCACTCTATTTTTTATTATAGCTATTGATACAGAAAATGATTCTGAGCCTGTCTGTCCGTCTGATGATTTTCCATTTAAATTTGTGTTCAAGCTACAGATCGCCCAATGGGTTTAACGTCTGCACCTGGCTTGGTGCTTTAATCAGACGGGTTGCCTACAACCATAGGCACTCAATTAAGTTGAGTGATCACCCCCCGGGGGGAGAGACAATCCCCTAATAAAGGGGCCTCTCTTACCCCGAGGAGCGCAGATTGTTCATCGTGTATGAACCGCCACTCTGGTACGTGGTGAGTCCTATCATCACCCCGGATTTATTCGAATGGATATGGAATGGTGAAAAGCACAGCCACCACGATACTCCCCGAAGGGCCGAACCCAAGCAGTCAGGACTCACAAATTGATCAACGCTTGCTTCCGCCATAAGGCTTCCACTGTGCTGTTGATCAATTACCACCATTACCCGGAGACACCCGTGACATATGTTCAAAAGTAAAAATAGGCAAAAGGGGAAAAACCTTCCGTCAAACCCCTTTTTTCATTTTTGCATGTATTAAATTAATTTACGAAAGGGTTTCTATTAATCGGTCAAAGGGAAGGCCGTCCGTTAATTCCCTTTTGCATTAATAGTAAAAATTAATTTATTCATTACGACTTTAAGAACAAAGTCCATCATACACCCGCAGGCATACGTGGCTTTGTGAGGCGAGCCTCCTGACCCCCGTGGCTCCCAGTTTGTTTTACAAAGCCTTTGGCATACTTTGGGTGGATGTTAGAAACAACCGTACTTGCTTCGGATTCACCATACTTTCCTGGTTGCCAACACCAGTGAGCTACTTTTCTTCGTGATATATAGGTCTCGGGTATTGCACAGACATGGCAGAGTGATCTACCATGCACTCGCTAGATTACTACCTTCAACGTACTTAAAAACCATTCATTCATATATTTCGTCGGTAGTAACTAGCTATTGAGTGAAGAGCTCATCCTCCAGCCAACCCCTCCTTCATCTCTTAGAAACTCGTCGCCGAGTTAAGCTACAGTTCGAAAATATTTAATTGTGATGAAATTTGGTACACTAATGTATTTTATCCCAAGGCCGAACGCCGACCACTCCCAATATAACGCCCTATTTTGAAGAGTCGTTACATGGAAAAAATTGCAATCTTCAAAATTTCTTGACAAAATTGGCTTAGTAATAATATTTCGGTATTCTACATTGGTTTGAAACTTGTGGACCGGCTTGGAAAGGTTTTTTAAATCTTTCTCATATAACGGCAACTGAAGTTGATATGACAAGAAGGCCTGATTTTCAATCCTTTGTGACGAAAATCAGATCATAATAGTGATTTAAGAAAAAGAAAGATTTAACTGCCCCAAATTTGCACCATCTCGGCCTATTTTTTCCGTTCCACCCGCTATAAGAATTTTCACGAAAATTTTTGTTTTTTAGGACAGAAAAGTCCAAATTTTATTACGTTATGATGAAATTGACGTATTGTAGTAATTTGACAGAAAATTTTAATTTTGCTGAATTTTGAAAACATACTCCAATTGTTGAATCTCTTGGCCACAACCATTGCTTATTTACAAAGGAGAATGGTTTTTAGTATACAGTTCCCGAATGGTAAGTTCATATCAAAACAGGGCAAAAATAAGAATGGTGTTAGACAATGTGGTAGGGATGGCTTCTTTAAAATGAGACGTTGCATGGTAAATGGTCGTAAAAATGATTGGATCGAATCTATTACCAACCATGGTAGTGCATCAAATTTCCTTAAAAAATATCAGAAATAATGACAAATATTGAACACAAAAACATATAGACAGACATCAGACACATGGGAAAATTTAAATCGATTCAAAAAATGATAAAATGACAAGATCGATCGAAGGAAAAGGGTCTATTTGAAGTCATACTGGATGTTGTACACACCTGCATAAACTACGCATACATACTACACTACATAGATGGTGTAGGGTATAGTAACCGACAATGGTGTCAATAACAACCTGTCATTATATCAATGTAAATGATAAGAGTATTTTAATTCACCATATATTAACTTATTACAAATACAATACAAACATTAATTTAATAGATCGCAAAAGTTTATCCGTACCACTAGTTGACTTACTCTCAATTAGTAAAAAGCTTTTCACTTTTAATATATCAATATTTATATTGTACGATTGAAACGCGCTGGACACCTATGATTCATCCTAAGTAAAGTAAATTTAACATTCTTACATGTCTTTTTCTCTTTTTTTCTTTTCTATTGTTTCTTCTCTTCTATATATGAAATGTTGATATTACAACAAAAATAGTATTAAAGGCATAAAAGATAATCAAACGATGTCATGCGGTTTATTTTTTTGAAAAGAAAATATAATTTATTTATTGCATGACTTAACAGAGTTCTAGGGCATAAAATGGATAAATAAATTTTCGACTTCAGAAAAGTGAAGTGCAGTGCAACGATAGAATTTCTTTGAAGCTAACTTTTTCAAAAATACGTTTTGCAGAGCACGGGTGTGGGGAAAACCTAGAGACAAAAAATAGAATATTTCAAGATTAGCAATCAACGTCGACCTGAAATACATCGTAAACTTTATTGAAAAATAAGTAAACCTCAAAACCAAAATCGTGTTCCCAAAACGGTCAGAGGAAGTTTCAAAATAAACACATGTCAAAAAAAAATGTTACACAGATTGCGTCATTCCATTTCTTTCAAACTGATGGTGTGTGCCGTAGCTGGACAGGGAGTATAAGGTACATCGTCCTACGAAACTTACCATTACTCTTGACTAATATCAAATTTTAAATCGATCTAGGCATGTCTATCAGTCGATCTGTGTGGTCTTAATAAAAATTCTCTTCGCCGCAAATCCGCTTCAAATTTGGCGAAAACCTTCGAAATGATTGTATGTAAGTTGATATTAAAAACGAACAAAATCGATCAAGGCCAAGAGTAAACGTTAACATCGCTGAAAAAGCCTCGATTTGCAAGTTTTTTGCTACACCAGATAAAATGATAAAAATTTACATGCAAGCTCCCGATGCGTGTACATCTACAGCACCTGCACAAAAATGGAAAAATTGACGGCACCAACTCAATATTGCAAAATATCAAAAGTTAATTTTCTTTGCTTTCCTCTTGTCTTTCTTAAGATCTAGGTGGCGGGCATTAAGAATTCATATGTAAATTATATTTGAAGGCGTGTTTACAATTGAAAAAAAACCTAAATGTAAAAAATGAACAGTCAGTTATTATTCTCAGTGTTGCGTAGCAATGCTTTTTTTTGCAAACTGTTGTTTACCAACGTACTTTTGTACTTGTTTGTATCAATTACGATTGGGCAATGACCTATGTTCCTCATTCGGAAATCAAGTATGAAATGCGTATTTGCATCTCACTTTTGAACGTTCTCCTATTTTTACCGGCACCTTAGGGTTTTAACGCCTTTTGGTAACTTCTAAACCATTACTACTTTAATTCTATTCCTCTAAAATATGGTTATGCAAACGGTATATTTTTTGTGGCTTTCTGGTTTGCCGTATGTAAGCACTTAATTTCACATATGCAAATTTTTTTTCTCCTCTAACTTATATGTTGTAATAATGTAGTACAAGGATATAAAAAATTAAGCAAATAAAAGTAAAAACATAATTGTGGGCCACGTCCCATAAGTGATTGAAAGAGTGGTCTGGTCCGAACCATTGATATGAGAAACCAAGCCGGATAGACGGACAGACATGCTTAGAACTTTTCTTTCGAATCGATTAGTACGATAAGAAGTGTTGCAAACTATACGCTTCTTACACAAGTAGTGTACGGTATAATAATAAAATTATATAATAATACTTAAAACGGGAAAACTATATTAGGTTGTACCCGAATCTTTTGTACCCATCGCAGTTATCCTAAAAAAGACAGAAAAAGTGTAAGAATTAAATTTTCGTTCTTTATAATATGGAGTGGGCGACGCTGATTCTTTTTTTTTTTCAAAATAAAAGGTTTTTTTCGCACAGGGGAGTGTTTCTTGAAAAGTTTAGGTCACTTTCAAATTCCTTTGCATATTCGTAGACGAAATCTTCATTTTCGCTAACAGGACAATGTGTTGAAAGAAAATTTTGCTTTGATATACTAAGGTATTGGGTAGGCGCGTTAAATTTTTCAAGTTTTCATTACTTTTGAAAAACAGAGGCGTTCTCAGTTTACGTGGTGCTGCAGGCGTGTCCTTCGATCGATTACGCCCATTTTTAATACCAGCCTGTGTGCAAGAAATTCCAGTGTTTCTGTCAAATTTGAATGAAGAATGCTTACAACAGACACTACACATTACTCATCCTTCGATGATGGATAAAAAATGTTCCTACTTGGAAATGATATAATATATAATGGGAGGTGATAAGAGAGGGAAATGATATAATATATAATAGGAAGAAAATGATTCTGCTTTACAAATAAATGATAAACGTAATAGGCGATAGGAGGAAAATGGAAATAAATACCGCCCACCAACATAAAACAACACCTACTTCTCTGTACATATGTCCACATGTGAATTGAACTTTTTCTCAACATGGACATAAACCTAAAAAGTTTAAGCTATCTTCGCTCTGTAACCCACGGCATGTCCTCAATGACGGCCAGAAAAAAAAGGAAGAGAGAGGGAGTGGCCGTAGCCTGGGAGATCTGTGATCGTTGTGCCTTTATCGACCGCGTTCTCACTTTGTATACCAATCGGAATTAAAGCATGGTCCACGGTCAGGCCCTGAGGCCTGATATCAGGCACTACGACTTGATAGTTACAATTCTTTAACTATTGTACCACGCGGCGCATGCAACTACATTGAGTTCCATTTTAGCACTTTACCATATCAGATTGAATGAAATTGGATGACTAGCGATTGAAACTAATGGATACGTATAGAAACCTTGGAATTCGAATAACTAAGACATTGCCTGCCGCAAATGAAGCGACTTTTTCCGCGAAAGTCAACAAAGTACACAACAAACAAAGCGAAAGTACAAGAAACGCCGTAAGAAGCAACAATAAAAAGATTATTTGGTAGCTGTTGTTGCGAAAATATTAATGCTAAAGCTACAAAGCGCAGAAATATTGTGTTAAGACTCGTTCTGGACAGTGAGAACGCAGCCATCGATCACCACAGTGTCTGGAGGCATTGAATAACAATAAAGAGATGAACGCTTGTGAGATATCAAAAAAATCATGATCATGTCATAATCCCCCAAAAGGTATACACCGTGTTCAGAGTTTGCACTTTTCAGAGTTTGCATACTTATCACGAGTTGTATATCACAGACCCATAACTGCGAGCAATGAAAGCAGTCTTATCTAGCAGAAAGCAAAGCGAAAGCTCATCCACCAAGAGAGTATCGTATGTCGTAAGCCATATATACAAACTCGCATTGTGAAAAGTTGAAAGAGCTTCACTGAGACATTCAGAATACAATTCCAAAGGACAACCATAAGCGTCGGTGTTAACAAAAATCTCTGGAAAGTGCTACTTGGCAACACATTTGTCATACTTGCCACGTTAAAAGCACTCACGACGCGTTCTTTCACCAATAGCAGTGTCGACGTAACTAAACAGACATTTTGACATATATGATGTAATGTTTTAAGAGGTTTATGTTGCCAAATGCCCATGCGTTTTGTATGATGTATACATTTGTTTATTTCCACATCGCGCTGTTGGAATGCACCGGAACCAAAGTCATATACGAGTTGGCCAAGCACCTGTTAAAAAGTGATCGAGTAAAATACTTCTTCAAATAAACATTAAACGAACACTTAAGGCATAATTCGCAACCTTTTAGATGACCTGCCATATAATACTTATGTAGAGTTTACTTACCGTTTGGTTTCCTACTTTTAACAATTCTTCATTTACTACGCTAACATTTTCCCGTCCCCCTTTTTAAGCCTCCTCCTACTGTAGATAAAACATTTTTGGAAAACGTATTTTAGCGAAATGATTTTAGTTCTCCGCCGTCACAGGACATAGGCAGCGAGAAAAATATTCATACGATACAATACGATTCGTAATGAATGCTCTCTTTATTTCTCTATTATTACTATATACATATATATTATTTGCATCCAATACCTGTCCATCCTTCCTTCCGAATGGTTGAAAATTTCAAAGCGAATAAAAGATTTGGTTCTTAAACTACTAATTGATTTTCAAACTCATGAAAATCGTATCAAAAGATCTTTAAAAATTGATAAAATTAATCACTTGTTGACAAATTACTAAGACTAAGATTTGAAGCTAAGTAGAAATACATTGAAATAAGTTAAGAAATTTAAATATTTAATTTTGCAGACGATGATGGCGTTGTAACACGCGGTTGCCTTCCTAAGGATAGCACTGAAAGTGAGGGAGTCAACTACAAGCCTTGTTTGGGAGATAATTGTAACAATCATACCATTTGTAAAATGTGTACAGAAGAACATGAGGATTGTTTTAAAATCGATGACAACAATAAATATAACGTAATTTGCGATGCGGACGCACAATGCTTTTCAAAGCTAATAAATAAAAAGGTAGCAAAGGGTTGTGCAACGTCTTCAACCTGCACAAAGGATGAAGAATGTGTCGTATGCACGGGAGGTATTTGCAATACTGGCCTGTTTCCAAAAGATCGTAGATCTTGTCATAAATGCGAAGGCCAGAATTGTGACAATGTTACAGAGGAAATGCGGAATTACTGCAAGAATTATGTAAAAGATGACCATTGTTATACTTACGGAGACAGTGAGCAAAATATGCAACGTGGTTGCGTATCGGATGAATCTTCGAATCCCTGTCCTGCAGGAGGGGCTGACGCTAAATGTAGAACATGTAACGATAAGCTTAACTGTAATGATACCCCTTATAAAATTCACCAAGAGCTTAAATGCATAAAATGCTCGTATAGCAAAGATAAAGAACAAGATAAAAATTGCATGGACGCACAAAACAGTAATAAGGCAGAGGCTTGCTCCGAAAAAATTCCCTTTTACGCTAAAGAATGGTGTTTTACTCATAAAACAAGCGATAGTTTTCAAAGGGGTTGCCTTTATGACCGTATGCAAACTGAAGACGAATGTAACGTAGACAATGGTTGCACTACTTGCAACGATGCAGATGGTTGTAATCGAGAGAAAGTTTCTTCTGATTTCACCTGCATTGCTTGTCGCAGTGATGAAAATCCAAAATGTCGTAATGAGGCTAACACATTGCCAGGTATAAAATGCCGCACAGAGTCTTCGTTGGATGAAAGATGTTTCTTCGGCACTTGGCGTAAGTAGTTCTATATATAGATTTTTGGGAAAAAAAGTTCAAATTCATTTATGATTTCTCCTTTCCAATGAGGCGATACCTTTATCGACTCTTTGATACACTTTTGCAACTTTTCTCAAAAATACATTAAGGCTCTTGGAGCCATGACAGACAAGCACGACTCGTAACCGAGCCTTCCACGTACACTCATTTTATTCTCTTCATTATTTGCATTTTTGCTTCTTCTCTGCAAGTAAATATTAAGTACGGACTTAAATTTTGGGTCGCGGGGAACTGTATAACAACTGAAGTAGGTCTACCGCTGCGTGATATATGGAAATTAGGACGACGTGATTTTCATTATTTACATATACAATATCATTTTCCCTCATTGGATTTTGCTTTTTTATATATATATATAAGTTCAATAGGCCATATTGGCTTACGAGCATTCTTAGGTAATTTTCCATATTTCCTTAGATATTTCAGTGTACAAGCGCAGAGGTTTTATATCACATTCGTTCCTGTTTGTAAATTTAATTCCCTAAGCCATACTAACCAAAACGTTTTTTAATTCCCTAAACGTAAATTTAATTCCCTAAGCCATACTAACCCAAACGTTTTTTTTTTTTTTATTGTGATACTTCTACGTAACTAACAACGGATTGAAACAGTTAAATGTCACAGGTACGCCAAGCGTCTACTCTTTTCTTGATAAAGAAAATATGGTACTTCTACTATGGAATGAGTAGTAATTTATGTATTTAGGTTTGCCCGTCACTTCCGACCACAGGCAAACAGGAGCCTAGCTGAAGAAGTCCGGTATATTTATCATTTAGTTTCAGTTTCTAAGCCACAGCTAACATTGTTGACTCCTTGACGGCTCGACCGCAAAGAAAGGAAATAACAATGGCCATCTGACTTCGCTTTGAAAAATCACCGTTGCCTTTAAAGTCAGCTGATGTATACACTACGAATCCGATAACAGTACCAATTTCACGACATACGGTATGTCTCATCTCCTCGGCTATGAACTCGATGTACTCTAAAGATGTATATATACCTTAGAGATAACTGTGGGACCAAAACGTCCTAGTGACTTTGTTCCTCACGGCATAGAAACAGTTGACGCTGATTCAAGTTTATTCGGGACGATATAACGACAAGATATTACCACAATAACTTTGTAGAGCCATATGTTACGAAAAGACACTTAAATAGTGTATAAACGTTATATAAAAGAATTATTATTATTATTATTATTATTTTAATTTTAGACTAATGAAATGAATTCTTAGACTAAAAAAAAAGACATTGAGCACTAGCAACACAGGCTATCGGCTCTAATTTAAATAAATGGATATTAGATAGTGAACTTAGTAGTATTAAAAAAGTAATATATTGAATTGATATTCTGTTCTGAAGCTGATTGTAGAATGTTCAAAGGGTTAATAGTTCCAAATGCAATACTTCTAGCCGAGGAAAAGTTGAGGCAATCACAGAGAATGTGCTTTATAGTAAGAGTTTGTCCGTATATATATAAATATAAAAGAATCTTTCTTTATTTTGTGGTAATATAGCAAATATCATGATCCGTATCACGATTAATGTCAAAAAAGTGAAACAAAAAATCTTGAGATGACAAAACTGGTTGTAATATTTCGATGATTCAACCTTATACACAAACGACATCGCTACAAATGTGATTGTTGGTTCGCGAACAAGTTCTGTTTTCCTTCTTTATACCAATCTCCGAAGGATGAATTAAATATTGATTTGTCAAAACGTTTGTAACATTCCGAAGGAAGTCTCACAGATTTAAACATATCCGTCTGTCTCTCTGTGTAATGTCCATGGTAAACATTCTCAGGACCGATTCAAGTATGGCACAAAGATTGGAGGTTCTTGCATGCAGGTTGCTATTGAAATTGAGCCAAATCGGTAGGAGAACACTATCACAGTACGATATAATCTGAAGACAGCTCTGTCTCTAAGCATAAAAAATAATTAATTTTTTGCTTGGTACTTATAAAGCACAATAGATAAAGCGAAAAAATTTGCCGCATTAGAGACCACATAAAGTCTACATATTATTGATCAGTATCACAATATTGTTTCCGTTTCATACGTTTTTAGCTCACCTTCGAAAACGTTCGAAATAAATTTTCATTTTCACTTTTATATCCACCACTAAAGGATGAGGGTTATACTTATTTTGGTCTTTTCTTCGTAATATATGCAACACTCAAAAGGAAGCTTCAGAGACCCTATAAAGTATACATGTTCTTTATCAACGTGAAATTCTAAGTTGATTAAACCGTTTCTGTCCATCTAGGTGTCTGCGTAGTGTTCTTGTCAAAAATTAAGCTGTCATCTTCAAATTTGGCATCGGAACATGAGAAGATTTACGCGTAGGTTGGTATTGAAAATGAGCTAAAAATTGATCAGAGCAGAAGCAAGCAGGGGAGCACAAAGTAACCGCAACTCCGTTTTCGTTAACAGTAGGGAGTTTTTGCTCGTTAATCGGCAATTATTAAAGTTAGAAACCTGCAAATTTTCAGCTCTTGCTTTACTAAACACTTCGCACTTTACGTGCACAAATGGAAAAAACCGGCCAAGCCCACACAAAAGTTACAAGTGATTAAATTTTATTTTTTCGCTCTTTTAAAGTTCTATACTTATTTATCATACGGCAAACTAGACAGAATGTTTAAAATTATTTTGTAAATTCGTCCAATGAAGATATATTATCTGTCTAAAATTGGGTTAACATTAAAATGAATATGGTAGACACCGCGACCTGGTGCGAGACTCGGCCCCTGCCGAATATAACTTTCTTGCTTATTTTTTTCAATATGTTTTTGTTTTGCAGGAAATGTGGTAATTCGTGGTTGCTACGTAGACGCCGATGAGCGTATGCAATACGTGTGTGCTGATAAAGCAAATCCTCAATGCAGCGTCTGTGAGAAAAGTAACTGCAATATAAAACAGATTCCGTCTAATGCTAACATATTTTACGCTCTTTCACTTGAATGGCTCCTATTTATTACCGTATTTTATGCAGTTGTTACTCATTAAGTTATATTAATTTAAATTTTTTAAAAATAAAATCAAAAATCTTTTGATAAAAAGTTTCACTTTAATAAATACTTAAGAAGAGTTCAACAATTCGTTTTATTGATTTTTAAAAAAGTTTCCCGGAAAAGAAAATTGTTTTAAAAGTTGATTAAGTTTTAAGCAATTGTCTGAAAAATATTTTTAAGATACAAACAAAATATTTCGTAGATTCATAAATTAATTGCCGCATTTAAGAGTTATCCCCAAAATCCTTTAAATTAAGCCCGCACTAGCGCATTTACATCAGAGGAGACTTTATTTGTAAAGTTTACAAAGTTCCAACGACCTATATAGACACAATTATTCACCGAGTTACAAGAGTTTGTTTTTAGCAACATTTTACATTAGCATAATCTTCGTGTCGGCTCCTCCCTTCAAATGTTCTGAACATGAGCTTCTGATTTGTTTATAAACCTTTTAAAACAAACGACGAATTCGACATTTTCCCTGTGTGTTTTCAGGTGGAGCCGAAAGTCTTTATTTACTTTTATTATTTTCCCGTTGAATGGAAAATTTTTTTTCGAGATTTATGCAGATTTTATGTAGGTTCAAAGGTAGGTCAAAAGGAAATTCAGTTCAGCTTTGCAAGCACTGGTAGGAGAGGAATGTTTATCAAAATAGAGTGAATAATATTCCGATTATGCAAACATAGTGCCGCATTTGAAACGACAAAGCCACATGATAGCCAATATATCTAATGAAAGGTGCGGCATATGTGAAGAGTGTGCTCATAACGGTTGAAGACCTACGTCGAACGCTCAACGACGGAGTGGAAGATTACACAACGGCAAGCTTCGTTTTGTCGTTCACGACGAGCTCGCTTTACCTTAGATGGGATTGCTTGCGAAGCGTAGTATTACCCTTAAGTAATACAATAGACTTGGCCTAGTTTTTCTAACAGTTAAAGGGATGCTTTCGAGAACTCCAAGCATAAGGAGCTGTTACCACAATTGCTAAATTTTTTACAAACTGAAACATTTCAAAGAAAAGTGTGCGAAATGTCAAGATAGAAAATTTTTAAATTCGTTTATCCCTTTATCTGATAAAATGTAAATGAAAAACTTACTTTTCCTTTAAGTACCATATCATGCCCGTCATTTGAAAGGATATTTGGTTTTCAATGTATTACTATCAATAGGCCAACCAATCCTGTCACTTTCGTATATAATTGTGTCGGTGATCGATAGCTTTAAAAAGCATTAATTCCTTTAGTAAGAGAGAGGTAATTAAAAGCATTTTACATTTACATTTTACCTTAGCTTCGAACTCATTTCATCCTTAGCACAGTGAAGTCACACCAAATATTAGATATATTTACATATTTTTCGTTAATTACATGATTGCAAGATTTTCTCTTTTCTTTTAATGAAAAACTTTAACCTTTAAATGATGAATTTGAATGAAAGTTCAAACGTCTTCCAAAGCATTCTTATCCAATTTGTAATGTCCCTATACGTGTTTTTTCGATTTTGTACCCATTACCGAAGGATGCGCGATATATTCACTTTTCTCAACGCGTTTGCAACACCCTAAAGGAGGCTTCAAAGACCCCGTGTATATCTCTTATTTATTTATTTATTTATTTATTTATTTATTTTAATTCTACTTATACATGAAACTCGACTAGACAAATAACAGTCGAGTTCAATTGGCACTTAGAGCAAAACTTATATTAAATTAATAATAAAACTAAGTATAAGTACAATAAAACAAATAAGAAGGAAAAAAAAGCATGTACACAACCAGCATAGAGCCACACTTACAACCGGTACAGGACCAAATTACAAATGAACCCCTAAGCCGTCGCAAACATGCATAAGCCTGGCAACCGATAATAGTTAGCAACAATTCATTTTCGAATCGTAACGACTTTTTAAGGTTAAAAGCTAGTTTAAGCACGACATAGGTAAATCGCGCGTATTAAACAATGTTGCTTTAATGGACCTTAAAGAGTCTGATAATGAGAATAATTTATATATATGTACAAATTTAATCAGCATTAAATTATATTTATGTATACATTTAATCAGCATTGAATTCTGAATTCGAAAGTAAATATTCTTCTAGCCACAAAAGCGAAACTATCGACTTCAATACGGCACGCCTAAACTGCTACGTAAACAGTAATTTCCAAACCGGAAAGAAGCGCGCTTCAAAACTCGACAGAGTTTATACATTCGTCACCAACGCAGTAAAATTGCCTCAACTTTCTCCACTGAGAGCATGTATATTTTGTTGCCATGGACGCCTGGATAGAGACCTATATATATATACTGATATTGATGAATCTGCTAAATGTCGAAAAGACGCCGGCGGAATTCGAGTAAACCGAAATGCCTCTCAAAAAGATTATGGGTGCTATGTTCGGGAATAAATATGGTTTCGTGGATCTTGAGATGTTAAATTTTAACTGAAGGAAGATATTATCAATTATCAAACTACTTAGCTTTTATATAAAACAAATTGTATTCCACTAAATGTGTGGTTGTAAATATAAAGTTACAATATATATATCCAACTAAACGTGTCAGATCATCACATAGTTAATCTCTTTTCGTTAAAAACTGAATGAATATCCTATATTTACGTAAGCGGCTGTTAATTAGCCTCCGTTTTTCGTAACAAGCGGTTCTTATTTAATCATCCAATCAAATGTTATGTACATGTAGGTAGGTGGGTAGGTAATTTTTGATTGAAGCCACCGCCAACTGCAAATTTTTCAAATTCTTTCATTCGTCCTCCGCCATCTTTTTACCAAGGCAGCCCAGAGACACTCATGTAGTTCTGTTTGTCGTCAAGCAAAGAAGGTAACTGACGTCCGACTTCTTGAGAATCGATGAATTGTTTTACAAGGCTTTCAAGTGTTATCATACCATTATACCTTACTGCTAAGGCACATGTTCCGATTATAATCATCGTAAGTTGAGACTGCGGTATATTGAAAGGTAAGGAAAGAATAAATTTCTTCGTTAAATATTATTTATGTATATATGACGACATATATGATATAATATTTAATAATATTTTCTCTTTTCGACATAATATATTTGTAAAAACAAATATATGTACTTAGGTTCAAGTTCAAGTTTGATTATAATAAATTCTCTTTTACTTTGAATTATCCCGTTGTGTTGGTTAATAATTTACGATAAATATATGTATGTATGTAATCAATATCAAATATGTATTATTAGTAGTGCTGTTCTCAATAGGTTCTAATTCCTACTAATTGTACTTACATGTTAGGACTGCACTTACTATCTGAAATCGCAAGGTACTTTACCACAACTATAATAGGTTTCAGTTACTTTCGGAGAAGCAGTTAACACACAATTAACAAGTTACTTTCGCATTAAGTTTCTGGTGAAGTTGTTTTGTCTTAAGGCAGTCTTTTCGTAAATTGTTACTGAAAATTGACAACGTGTGATACAAGAGCGTACTAAATTTGTGCGGGTGTATGCAACATCCAGAAGGACTTGAGATAGATCCACACGTTATTGTACCTATCGATTGAGAATCATTTCTCTGTACGTGCGGCCATCGTTTTTTCTGTTGTTGAACCTGTAGGCAGCGACTGTTAAGATATATTCATGAAATTGAGTACACTGATATGCTTTTGCCCAAGGTGATTGAAAATAGTTCGGATCGGATCACGTTTTCGATCACTTCTCATCTAAAGTATTATTTTGAAAAGTCGTTGTATGAATAACTATGTTAAAAGAAGTAGTGCAGGCCATTGAAGGATGGGCCGTGATCCAGTGCTTTTACTTGTTCAAATTAGCCTCACTATGCCCGCCATAGCGGAATTGGAATCAAATTCACCCTTGAGCCGCGAAATTCTTCTGCCTTTTATTATATTTTCTATCTCTTCAAATCGTGTTAAAATGTATGCGGTGTTCATCGCGCTGCCCATTTAAACAAAAACTCAAACTACTTCAACTTCTGATTTTCAATATATTTCTACTTAAATCACTCGGAAAAATTAGTAAAATATTTGTTCAAAATTAAATAGTCTCTTACGGACACTCTAGTTATAGAGAGGTTATCTTAAACAACGCAAAAAACGGGAACTTTGAAATAAACAAAAAAAAAAAAAAAAAAAAAATACAAACAATATACAATTATTCTCTTGCAATGCCAACGATTCCAATAAATTTTTATTTTATTTTTTATATATTATTTGCAATAACGCCAAACTTTCCTTACTCAAAAGCGGAAAACTTACCAAGTATGTAAATACAAGCAAAAAAAAAAAAAAATTGAAAATTTCGCTTCAATTAAATATTTTGATCATTTAGCTTTAAAATGTTACAATTGCAATTCGGAAGTTGATGGCTTAAATTGTACCACGAATTTGAAACACTTGCAGCCAACATTATGTAAAAATAGTTACGACAAGTGTTATATGAAAATCGGTAAGTCGTTTATTGAAATAAAAAAAAGCAGTAAAAGAATGAAAACAAACTTTTTAGTTATAGTTAAGTTAAGGTGTCTTAAATCCAATACTCAAAGACAATCAGTTGATATGATATCTGTGCACTTATAATTAAAACTTGGTGGACACATTTCGTGATATTAGGTAACCGAAAAAGTAATCAGCATATCTGTCACTATATTTAGTTACTTTCGAAGAAGAGTAATTTATTTGCACTTTAGACATTTAATTATTTTGCACAACAATTTTTAAATCGTTATGATGTGAGAGCTTGAAATATTTGCTAGATCAGCTAATATAATACAGTAACCAAATCCCCAAACAACAAGCCAAGCCACTTGTGGTACAAGGGTATATCAAGTTTGTATGTATGTAAGCAACAACAAGAAGAACATGAGATAGACCCGTCCGTGAGCCACACTTTTGATGAGGCTTTTGAGAGACGGGTTTTGAGTCAAGGACGAATGCTGTCGAAAGGTGCAGATCGCATCATTTTTTCGACAACTTCCAACATAAGACTTTATTTTGAAAAGTGTTTGTATGAAAGAGTGTCTTAAGCGAGGTGGTGTAGGGGATTTAATGAAGGGCTTTGTCCCACTAAAGCGTTTTTAATTGTTTCGAAAGAAATTGTTTGTTTTGCTTGATCTACTTTTCTTCTTTTTTTTTACGAAAATTATTCCAGTGACCCCAACGAGCTTACATTGAAATACTTTGAAGGCATATTCTGGCGTTGCCAATGGTCACCAGTCATAAGAGAAAAGAACATGCTTTTTTTTGCAACAGTTTGTGTAAACACTTATCAGAAAAGGGTCTTTACTATAGCGATCAATTGCGAACGGCTTATTGATCTGATTTAAAGGTTTACGTCTGTCTGTTCATTTTGCTTTCTTGTGTTTAACATATTTCGATGAATTTGGTTTTGGGCCAAGGATGAACGCTGTTGAAAATCGTGCAGAACGCAGCTCTTTTTCGACCACTTCTCATATAACGCCTTATCTTGAATAACTGTACGGTGTGGTAGGATAGGTGGGCCGTGGACCACTATAGTGGCTTTACTTGTTTTCTTATGAATTTTGTTGTAATATGTGTAATGCAGTAACACAATTCAAAATGAACTAATTTATTTACGTTTACATATTGTTAGGGCTATTTATGCCCAAAATCTGATGCTGGAGTAGCTGAGCGGTTCCAGGATTTATTTCACAAGAAATATCTTCGTTTGGTTTTTCTACGTTTCTATTCTCCTGTTGATCATCGCTGCAGAAAACTAAAATTCTTGCAGTTTTCTTTTGCTTTTGATAAAATCTTGGGTTTTCTGAATTGAAATTTATAAGATTTTTTTATACTTCTTCAAAATATATTTCAGTATTTCTTCTTTGACGTTTCAAATTTTCACTTTTCTCTACTTCAAATATAATTCACAGACCAAAACGTCCGCTCCTTCACTCACCTCGCGACTAACCCACTTTCTCCAACTTACTCTAGCACTGTCAAACCTGACGACTTCGACTTAAGCTAATTTTTCTCAACTTCTTTTGATTTCTCTTTACTCTAATTTCTCCTTACTTAATCCTGACTCTCTAAGCCTAACTTACTCTAAGACTCCCCCTCAGAGACGAAGAACCTGTAAGGCCAAAACAAGGGACGACTATAGTTCCTCACGATATATATATAGAATGTTTAGTGAAGTTCAATTACCCTGACAGTGGCACTTAAGCGGGCCGTTTCCAAAAAGAGAATAAGTCTTTGTAAAAGGCGGAAAAAACGATCTCTTTCTGGACACATAACACAAAATTCAAGGCACTTCGTATCTAAACGTATACTAATATATTAAATTTTGTAAGTGTCTCGTTTTAAGCAAAAAATTAATTACCAATTTATTACTAACATATTGAAGAGTTTTTATATTCGTTGAGAGAAGAAATTGATAAAATAGATTTTTAAAAAGAGGACTAGGTGTTTAAATGAACTGTATTTTGAATTATTTTCAAGAAAAAAGCATAACTAATACTATGTCGTACATGAATGAATTTTACATGTCAGAGACACTATCCTCAAGTTTTGCTCCACAGTACACGTGATATCGTCGGAGAGTACGGAACTTAGTTTTAACGAAGCTTGAACGAGCGGAAGTTTATGCCAACAAAATGTAATTTGAGTGAAGCATTATTTTTGCTGTTTAATTTGAAGGTAGATGACGCTGAATGGAAAATGAATACACTTCGATAACACTTGGTATGAAAAATCCATGATGCAAGCCATGTGAACTATTTGCTGTGAGAACAAGGCTGCATACCCATGGCTAAGGTTAAACAGTGTGACGTGCATTATGGATTGCTCCAACGCCAAGGAACGCTACCAACAATATGCAACATCTCAGGCATAGCGTGTTGTAAAGCACGTGTATTCATTGGACAATGATCCTTCTGATTATCACTTGTTGCGATCACCAGTTCAGCGTCTTCCTGATCTTAACGCCAATTTATGGAAACAAATCCACCGATAGTCTCAAAGGCTTCCTTATTGTTTGAAATCTCATTTTATGTAACAGAACGAAGAGATATATAACAAATGGAAACGGGCGATACATTTTATTAAATGTCTTGTGCGTTCGATAATTAGTAAATGTAGAATTTTATTAAAAAGCTTGGCAATGCTTCCCCATTGCCTAAATGCGTCATTGGCGGATTCACTACCACGTGACTCCATACATATATGTTATCTATCATTATATACAACAGAAATGGAAATATTTTACACAACCGCTGGCCGAGAATGACGATATCTCAGAAGAACACGGACCAGAAGAAACCAAGTGCAAATCGTTCAAGTGGTTTCCCAGTCGTCTACGAACATTGACTTTTATTTATAGAAATGGCTCAAAACTTGATCAATTTCAAATAATTTGAATTCTATAATATCCTGCAGGTATGAACGGTGATATACTTCGGGGTTGCGTAGCAGCAGATGCCGTAACAACAAGTTGCCAGGCTCCATCCTGTGCAGTATGTGAATTCGAAGGCTGTAATGATCATAATGTTTGCAAAAGTTGTTCTACTAGTGACGCAGATTGCTCCAGGACTAATGTTTCGGATAAAAAATTCGATGAAATCTGTGAAAGTTCACAGACCGAATGCTTGGCAAAAGTGATTGACGGAAAAGTGGAAAGGCGCTGTGCTCAAAAAACTGATCAATGCAGCAACAACGACACTTGTATTGTATGCTCTGGCGCTCTTTGTAACGACGGTATATTTCCAAGGGAACGTTTGTCTTGCTTCCAGTGCAACGGAGAAGGTTGTAAAAATCCATTCGAGCCCTTTCAGGCGGGAAGAACTTGTTACAATTATATTGAAAATGATAAATGTTACACATACGGCGACAATGATACAAATATGCAACGGGGTTGTGTATCAGACGAACTCAATCCGTGTGCAGGAGATAACCAAAGCACTGGCAAATGTTTACTATGCAATTCAAATGATTGCAATTCGCGCTCTTATAAAAGACCACAAACACTAAAATGCATTCAATGTGAAGGTAGTAAAGAAAGCACCGAATGCTTTAACTTACAGGATCCGAATTTGGCTACAGATTGCAGCAAAAAAGAACTTATTTACACTGACGAAGGGGCGTGTTACACACACCTGAAAAATAATTTTGTGCAAAGAGGTTGTCTGTATGAGCATATGGCAAATGAAGGCGAATGTAAAGAGGAGAATGGTTGCGAGAAATGCTCTGGAGTGGATGGTTGCAATCACAAGGAAATAACATTCAAGTTTACATGCATTGTGTGCCGCAGTGATACGAATACTAAATGCCGAACTAATGCAAGAAATATAAAGGGAGCAAGTTGTCGTGCCGACGCTGGTTGGAGTAAAGGTTGCTTCTATGGCATCTGGAGTAAGTACGAGATTGTGCTTATTAAGGTCTGTTGCGAATTAAAATTTGCTTTTTTTTTCTTCCTAACTGCAGACAAAGTCATTATACGTGGTTGCTATGTCGATGCCCATGAACAAATGCAATATGTATGTTCGGATAAAAGTAACACTCAGTGCCACGTTTGTGAGGGTAACGATTGCAATACATCTGTCTTGTCTAATGCCAGCGCACTTAATGCGTTAACTAATTTACATCTACAACATCTTTTGAGCTTATTAATTATGAAATTTTATTTCATTTAAAAATGTTTTGAAATTACATTGCATTTACTATAAAAATGTCCCTGCAGTTAATATATGTGAAAATATTCACCAAGGCAAGTAAAATAATATTCAATTTGTGAAGATCAGCTGCACCGCCGGTTATTTTCTTATTATTGCATATGTTGGAGTAACATAATTCGCAAAACTTTTTACTTTTCAAACAATATTTGAAGCCTTGCTCTGTTAAGTCACTCACGCAGCCGCGCATAGTAGTATTACCTTTCTCTTTAAAGAAATGAAAAAGTTTAATTAAAAACTATTAGGAAAATAAACGAAACGAAATTTACCGTCAAACATCGAGTAACAACCGCTATGTTCATTTTGACTATTGTTGTTGTTAGTCTTTTTACAAGTAACTTGTTCGGTTGCTCTCTTTTCACAAGCGCTGTCTTCTTTACTGTTGCATGTAAAACATAAGTCGGGCTTTATCTTATTAATAGTCTCGACTAGGTGAGGTTTTTCTTGATTTATTTCAACTTCACCAGCCGGGGCGTCATTTTGTAATTTCTCTTCCGTTTCCGCTGGATTGGGTTGTTGTGTTTCTGCGCCTGTTGGGACTCCTTCTTCTGCATTGTTGGTGTTTGAATTTGTTTCTTGTTCCTTCACATTGCTGCCATCGATGTTCGACTCGTCTTCTGGCAGTTTTTCCTCAACTCCTTTTTCAGGCTCTGCACTTTCAGCGCCTGGTTCGGACTCCTTTTCTGCTTCCATTGTTGGTTCAGCTTCCGGCTCCACCTTTGGTTCAGCTTCTGCTTCCACTTCTGGCTCAGCTTCTGATGCCGCTTCTGGCTCAACTTCCAGTTCAGCTTCCGCTTCAGCTTCCGGCAGCGCTTCTTGTTCGGCTTCCACTTCGGTTTCTGCTTCGGCTTCTACTTCCACTTCTGGCTCCGCTTCTTCTTTAGCCTGTGCTTCACCTGCCTGTTCGCCTTCCGGTTCCCCGGCTTCACCAACTTCTTGTTCAACTGCTGGTATCACTCCATCATTGACTTCGTCCACCTCCATTCTTTCAATTTTATCTTCCACTCCTGTGCTTACTTCTTCTTCTTGCTTTTCCATAGCGGGTCCTGCTCTTAGCTCAATTACCTCAACATCACCCGCAGTTTTCTGAATCTGTTTTTGTTCACTTTCAAAAGAGACAGTTCTAACTTTAGCTTCGCCCTTTTGAGAATTTTCCAATGCTTGTTCCATTGTTTCCATAAAGCCTTGCGTTGATAATTCTAGTGCAAGCGGTGTGGCAGTTGAAAAAGAACTGTATAGTGTTTGCTTTTGCTGTTGTTCTAGAGTCCAAGAAAATAAATTCAATTGAAATGTATTTATTGAATATTTATTTTATGAAAAAAAGTAAAAACACTGTAGTGGGGCATGACCGATCTTTAAATACCCTGCATCACTTCCTTCATATAACGACTTTTCAAATTAAGGTTTCATAAGGAGGTTGGTCGAAGAAGTCGTCCAATCAGAACAATTCTCAGCAGTATTCGTTCTTGAGCCAAAATGTCTAGAGGTATCAAATTTCATCAAAATAACTCAAAGTTGCGACCTGTAATGTTGTTGCGACACAAAAATAAACGGACAGACGGGCAGATAAACTTGGATCGATTCAGGAAGTAAATTTATCAATATAATAAAAATTGTGTGGACCTATCTCAAGTCCTTCTGTGGTGCATGCATCCGCACACACTTAATACATCGTAGAAAGATAAGTGGTGAAGGGTATAGTAATAAAATTAAGCTTCGGTAAAATTTCACAAACCGAGTGCAATTAACTTTCCCTCAAAAACACGCTCTTTTTTTTCACAATAAATAATTGTTTTTCCATGAACTGGAAATAAAGTTACACTGTCAATATTAGAAAAAAGAAACCCGCTTAAACGTATTCACCCGTCGACTGCAAAAATCGCAAAAATGAACAGGTAGGAAAGTTATATTCGGCGGGAGCCGAGTCTCGCATAACCACCACTATGCTTTTCTCATTCTACACTCCAAGTTCTTTTATTTGATATGCATATCGCTGGAATTATTAAGAAAAAATTAATCCACGAGGTCGAGGTGTATATCACATTCATTTTAGGACTAACCCACTTTTCTACAGATAACATATCTTTATTTGAGAAATGTACGAAATAATTTTAAACATTCTAGCTTGTTTGCTTCATGATAAGCAAACATGAAACCTTAAAAAGCTAAAAAAAAGATCGTTTAATCGCTTGTAACTTTGTGTGGGCGTAGAGAGTGCAGTGTTTCGCAAAGTAAATGTGGAAAATTTCAGTCTTCTAACTTCTGTCATTTCTTATTAACAAGAAAAAATCCACAAATTTTGATTAAGAAAAGCGGAGTTGGGTTCAGTTTATGCTCCACTGCGGGCTTCCGATCTGACCAGTTTGGCCCATATTCAATACCAACCCACTTGCAAAGACTTGCAATGTTTCTACCAAATTCAAAGCCCATGTCTTTCTCTTTTGTGGCTGGCAGAGTGGCAACGATACACACCCCACAGACACACACCCTGGCAGACATGACTAAATGATTTCAGAAGAAGAAGATATGTACTTTATAGGGTCTCTAAAGCTTTCTTTTGGGTGTTACATACATTATGGGAAAAAAACAAGATGGAGTGGTGAAATGATTCGCAGAATTTGTCTATTTAATGCTTAAACAATTTGGGCTGCCGCACAGCCAACAGTTAAGGAGCTAGAGTATGGAAGCGGCATACCCGGATTCCCAGTGCGGTAGACTGCAGTTTAGTCGGGATTGGTGTGTGATCGCAGTTGTAGTGAGTGCTTGATCGTTAAAGACATCACACCTACCTATCGGCCATGCATATCCTAGTCTGCGACCACTCCTTATCTCTCTGACTTTCCCCCCTCTTTCTGACGGTCACCCTTTGCCGCACGTATAGGAGACAACCCATGAATAATTGTGGGTTTTAAAAAAAAGAAAGTCGATATGATAGAGAGATAAAGAAAACTTTGCGATTATTAGCGTGACGAGTATTCCAAATTTGAACTTTTTCATATGTTTTACATATCTTGTTTAAATTGTCCAAAAAGTTCTTGTAAAAATTTATTGAAAATTTTCGATACGAATAACTTTTTGTTCACTAACTCTGGTCACCGGAAAAGAAAGGTATTCTTTTTTTTTGTTGTAATGAAATTAATCCAATTAGTATTTAATACCAGTTTCAGAAAGTTCTCCATCTGCTGTCAATATTAGCGCCATACAGAATATTGTAACCAAATCAAAATGTTTCATGGTTAACTCTTTACTTCAATCACTTAATGAAGACTAAAAAATTAATCTTTTGTTAGTGTTTGGATACCTATTTTATTATTTCTAAATGATATCAGAATAATTGCAAAAGAAAACGGACTCGGTTGATAAAACGATTGGATTTCAATGTCAATATTTATCCGTACACTTGAAGTTTTAAAACGCAACTAAATGATAGCTATATGAGACTTACTTTCCTTTTTTGAATCATCATCGAGCGATCGATATTTAAACCGCATTTCTTTAACATAGGAATCTATCTTTGTACGTGCATATGTGCATAGTGACCGGCTATCATTCCATGTTTGTTCTGATAATAAGTTTAAATTATGGTCACAAAAAAAAGTGCATTTTAAAAGGATACAGGTGAAGACGAATTGCAATGTACCTACATTAAGAAGTAAGCGGTAAGCTTAGCAATAAGCCGTCGCTCTGATTTCTTCTTTGTAAAATATATAAACGTGTACGTAGGTTGGTATTGGTCTTTTTTTTTTGTTTTATTTAAATAAAGTCGTGATGGGGCTAAATTATGGGCAAACCTATGCAGCTTAGCGTGCCCTCTTAGTGTGAGACTTCACAAAATAATGAAAACTACGTAAGGATACATTTGCATGACATTTAACCGCCACCATCATTAAACGCTTCTCGGTAGGTAAATAGTTAATGATGTGAAATTTTAAATTGACACGACATGTATATGCACTCATCTGCTGCTTTCGATGACAATAGCGTTTTCGTGTTTCCTTGTAGAACTGCGAAGTAAACGCAAATTACAACGACGATGGTGTTCGACAATCTATTTTATTGCCATAGGTTGACCATTACTTACATCACACATCAGGTGCTTTCCGTGCCGTTGCTATTTGCGATACGCGATAGCCGAATAGTGTTAAATTTATATCACAATATGTCAATGGCTATTAAATTTGCAAATATCTCTACCGGCTGCATAAGTATATCGCGGTTTAAGGTATTTAAATAATTTCTTTCACTTGCTATCGCTTGGTAGGTGTGCATATTAAATGTTAGCATGTGCGTATATATATATATATATATATATATATATATATGTGTGTTTCATTATGCAAGCATCACGTACAAACATTTCTACAATGAAGGAATAATTAATATAATGTAGAAGCAGTAACACGCGGTTTCGTTGTCTAACGCCGTTAATGTGTCCCAATGAAAGTTAAACGAACAACGTTGCGCACCAACAGTACAATAATAATAAAAAATTAGACCATGGACCCTTGGACCATTGACGACCTTAACACGGTAAACCGCTCTCATTTTCGTCACAGGTTTTTTTTTTGTTATTATTATTGTTTTAAATTTATTTAAATTGTCTTATCTTTCCCTCCACGATATGTTCATCGTTCAAATGTCTCCCAAAATTACCAGATACCAGTGCGCTGGTGTTTCAAAATTACCAAAAATTAACCAGAATGTGTCTGAAAAAAAATACATATGTTTTTCAATAAAAGTAAACAAAAGCTAAGAAAAATTCTCCCCGCAACATTTTCATTTTGTTTTTGCTCATATTTGACACGTTTGCATGAAAGTTTTTACCAGAAACACCTGTAGCATAATTCTCTGATTAAATAAAATTTCTTTATTGTACAAAAAAAACAAAATAACACTAAAATTTGAAAATTTAACAAATATCAATTTATTCATATTTATTTTACTTAGACAATTTTCAAAGTTTACAACCAGTCTGACCGTTTGGACCATTGACGACTTTAAAACTCATTCTCATCACAAGTTTTCTTTTTTTTTTTAAAGATTTTATTACTTAGTTGGAATGAACTGGATTTGGTATTTCCGTAACACTACCCTTCACTTAATCTTGTTCGTCCCAACCCAGGTCGTTTCGATAAGCGGTCAGTCGGTCCAGGTGTACCACTTTGATCTAGTTCTACCTCCGGTATGTTTTCGTATTCAATAGACCACGCCATTTATCCTTGTGATGATTTTGTACGGACTTTCTCAATTACATCGCAGTTTTGGTGACATACCTTTTCTACGTAAAGGGAAAAAAAAAATTTATTGTAGTCTGGTAAACATCTATTGAATTTTTGCTTAATTTGTTACCCATTTTTTGTTTTTATACCCATCGCCGAAGGATAAGGGGTAGGAGAAGGAAGCTTCAACGACGCCACAAAGCATATATATTTTTAATCAACATCAAACAATTTAAGTATGTCCGTCTGTCCGCCTTTGTAATGTCTGCTGCACACGGTGCTGCAAAAAGAAAGCTATCGGTTACATATTTTACAACATTGGAAGAAACATTGGAAGCTCTTGCACGCATCGAAAATTGGCCAAATTGGTGGGAAGACGCATCTAGCACCACTTAGTACCTGAACAAAAAGGACCATGCGAACCCAACATTATAGCGTCTTACAATGTGATTTTTTTTCACAACATGCAAAAGCAAGCCTCAAAAACACCATGAAGTATATAAATTCTTTATGTATCTAAACATGTCCGCCTGTTCGTCTGTCCATCTGCCCGTCTGCCCAGTTGTGTATTATCTGTGGTAAAGGTTCTCTCCTTCACAAAAATGGAGATGTCGCCTACAAATTTTCAAAAGAATTTGAAAATGACCCAAACCGGTTAAAGTACACGCATGCGCCTGTGCAATAAAAACTGTGAACATTCTTGCATTCGTTGTTTTTTGCTTATAATTCATAAGGTACAACACATACGTCGTATGAATTTCTACTGACGTTCTGAAAACAGAATAAACCAACCGCGCTCTTCCAATATTATAGAGTACGAAAATTGGGTTCTTTACCTTTTTTTAGTCGGTACAAAAGATCTAATGTAATTTTCTTACTTGTTTAAATTTAGTATTTATTTTTAATCAGAATGCAATTCTAAAATATATTATAGCGAAGATATGAAACAAAAAAATGATCTGTAATTAATGGAAAAAAAGGGGGAGATTATATCTCGCATCTCTTGTGGGGATTGAAATTTTCCATATGCTACGATTAAAAAGTATTTGTCGCAAGGAGTCATGACTTAGCCCAGCAGAGCCATCCACATTAATAGGGAGAAGTTGTGCTGTGCATATGGTGGGACTACCAAAGTGCAGTGTATAACGAGCTGCTAAACCCGAATGTAACGTTTACTGCAGACGTGCACCGAACAAACTGAACGATATATTATTGCAAAAAAGACCAGCAATAGCCGCTAACACGCGCTCTATGACAACGGTCTACCACACGTTGTAAGCGTTGTCAAGGATACACTGCTGCAGGTTGACTGGGGAATTCTGCCACATAGCGTCTTCTGATTACCTTTTGTTTAGATCAACGCAGCATGGCTTGGCTGGCACACGATTTCGAAAAGCTGAAGAGGCGCGAAAATGGGCCGCTGTTAGGATCACTGCCAAACTAATATCGTCCTTTCTACACGGTATCGCCGTATTGCCAGGAATATGTGAAAAAGTCGTAGACAATCGTGGAAAATATTTGGCATCAATTTCTCTCAATGAATGCCTTTTTCAAGTGAGAAAGGTGACCAAAACACATGCGAGCACCTATTAAAGAAACAATGATATATTTAATTCAGTTTATTAAGCTTTGTATTATATTTTTGTAAAATATATTTCACTTGTTCCAGCAATTTCGTTTTTTCAAATTTCATATGTTATATATTTATTTACATAGTTCTCTTTCTGGTCTTTGCATTATTTTATTATCCATGCCCGATGGATGATATCATGAATATTTCATCACAATTGCAGCGAATAAAAAGTCCAATTGGATGCAGAAGTAATCGAGTAACACTAAAACAAAAAGCGATTGTATCATTTTTGTAATTCATATTGTGCGATAGCTCCTAATCAACCCCAGGATCTGATAGAGCTCCGCTATGTATTCTGAAATTGTACGCTGATTAGATCGGTCCCCTGACCTTTCTTAAGAAAATTAATGATTATTCGTCTTCTTCTTTGAATCGCCAAATGAGCCACAGACGACTCACTGAGTTAATGAATATATTGAATTGGCTTATTAACACTTTATTTATATCGTTTCGTTTTTCAAAAGAAATTTCTTATCATACGGAATAAATCCTCCTATCCAAGTATGTCAAGTATCTAGCCAAGTCGTTTCCCCATCCTGTTACCTAAATTCCCTTTTGTAAAAATAATTTAATTAATGTTACGAAGCAAATTTACTACATTTTCGGTAGTAACGGTTTTAAACGTTAATAATAATAATAATGATACTATTGATAATAATAATAATATTAACAGTTGCATATATAAAAATTATAGTAAAAAAGCAAACTAGGCAACAAATAAAATGGGCGCAAAATGTACACATTTTCGGCAACTACCACACACAGTGCTACTTTTTACAGCAAAAAATACATCTGATCATACTTTTCAAATGCAAACAACCCACGTACATGGAAAATGTAAACAAAAATTCAAATTTGCAGCAACAAACACACGGGCTACGACTTTTGCATTAAGAAAAACCATATAAGCAAAATTTGCGATTATCTTTTATTTCAAAATTTTTTCAGATGGCAAGGTGAACTTTTATATTTTGACACTCAAAGTCATATGTTGTTCAATCGTTCGCTCGCTGGCTATCTTTTAAAAGCAAAAAGAAGAAGAAGAAGTCTTGATAACAAAGCGCTTACAAAAGGTGTTGAGAAAGAAATATACAAAAACATATGCTTACAGAGCAGTTCTTATAATCATTTGCACTGTTCATCAATTAAGGCATTTGTTTTTCGAAACTTTTAAAAAAAATACTTGTAAATTACAAAGTTTCTATACAGTTAGCAGTGAAGAATGAGTGGGAAATTGTTTAATAAAATCTTATTAACCATTGGGTTTTTAAGTTTAGCACACGCTGCATATTCAGCTGCGCATTGTAAGTTCTACAAAGCTTTGTTCATTTTATTCATATATGTAAATAACTTTTTTCCATTTCAGATCGCACTTTTTTACGTTTAACAGAGCAAGAATTTACCAAGCTGCCATTGGATGTAGGGTTTATAATATATGTTCTGTTAATTTGAGAATTAATTGCTAGCGTCTTATTTCTTTTTTTTCAGATAGTCGTACAAATTGTCGTAAGCCTAATAATGATTATATATTATGTGGTACAAGTGGTAGGAAACTTCAAAGAAATACGTGCTACCGTCGATATGCAAGCTAAATCTTGGGACACATTAGGCAACTTTCCTTCATTCTATCATTTCAATCACAGAGGAAAAGCGTTATCACCTAGCTATGTGCCCGAGAATGGAAGTGACGAGGAAATGACTTCTTATGAATTGTAGTAATAAATAAATGATAATATTAAGAAATAACACAAAAGCTAACTAAAAACTAATAGAAAAATATTCAAAGTGAACCGTTACGACGATCGAGAATAAGCGAGTGTGATCTTGAACGCAAAGTAAGAAATTTTTTTACACATTGTAATTTTTTTCGTCCCCTAATAAACCATTCATCAGGTTCAGTGTAGGTGGAAGATAAATAATTATAAAAATCGGCAAAAAAATAAATAAAATAAAAATAACTCCGTGAATATAATCAACAAAAAAAAAAAATAAGTGGTTAATGTGGAGCGAAACACCTAGAAAGAAATGCAGCCAAGGAGTAAAAGGGCATCCAACAACTCAAATGTGCCGAGCGGAAGTACAGAAACTTCAAGGAATAATAGCGAATAGTTATTTTTGTCTTAAGTCCGATGTCCCTCCATACAATTCTCACATGACAACATCTATTTCTTTTCCTCTCTAAATTCGAATTTAAAACACATAAAAGGAAAATTTTTATAATAAAACTGACATACTACTAAACGAAAAAAATTAAGTGTCACCAAATTCCAAGGTAAAACAAAAAAAATTGCAAATTCTAAATGGTAAAGCAAAAGAGGGTCAAAATACATAGTGCACAGCAACAAAAAAATATACAGTCAGACCCTTTTGTTATTCCCTAATCGTTATGCAGTGAACAAAAATTTTGACTATTAGTGACTCGGCCACAAGGCAGTCAGAACTTTTATATTGTTTGGTTTTGCTTAAAATAAAAATTTTGTTTTGTTATTGTATTTGGTTGTGTTATCCAACTCAGAGATTTCGTCTGCCTACTTACTTTGTGCAAACGTAGATCTTGTAACGTTCTGTAATTAATGTGCCTATAGCTCTAGTGCCTAGATCCGAAACATAATTTCTCAAATGCTATTCCTCGCAAACTATACAGAAAGAGAGGTCTTAGGTTGGATTCTTATCGCAACGAACTGCTAGATTGTAAAATGGTACTTTTATTACCTCTAAATATAATGAGTTATTTATAGGCTGATTTATACCACTTTTAACATCGGAGTCGTCTTACTGCTTCAAAATGTTTTGATGTTCAGATCAATCTCACCGATAGCGTGTACTTCATAAGACCGTGACAAAGTGAGGGCTACACTTCGCATCGTGTACACTGTATATCTGATATAAGCTGAGCAATAAAATGTAAATGTCAAATTTATCTTCTCCCTGTCTTAGGTTTAGTTTCTGTTGCCAGGGCTGTGTGTTCGTTGTAGACTGTGTACTCCCGTTCCTCTAAAAAGTGTTGGAAGTGTTTGATACAAATGCACTATATTTTATCTCAGAAATTGTCAACTTTCCAAAAAGGATGCTAAAGACTGTTTTTCCGTTATAAAGTTGATGCAGTAAATGAATCTACATTTAAGATTCATGAAAAATTAAGAAAGAAATACTTTGCCAACGACTCGATATGATCTTTCAATTTCTCTAACTTAGTTACATTTTACTCGTTACATTATATAAAGCATCTATCACATAACACACTTCGAATCACGAGAATCTATAAATTTTTGATTTTTATCTCCTAACATCACTAAGGTTTTTTGTGTTTCTTCTATCGATGGTACATTTTGATTTTGTCCCTTTTTATTTAATATCCAATTGCAATGAGCGGTATGCACAACTCCAACCATGGTTTATTCCAAGCGCCACCAAACCAAATGACGACGAACCATTTTTTTTCTCGAGTTTTTGGGCAATTTAGTTTTTTTTGTATTAAAATCGTTTTTTTTGTTTGTAGTTTTTTTCCCTATTAAAATCGTTTCAATTTTTCCGCCTTTCAGCCACAAATGCAATTTTATAATTTTAATTCGAAAATGTTCTTGAAATTACATTGAAAGGCAAAGCACAGAGTCGCTTATAATAAATAAAAAAATTGCCAAAAATGGTTGAGTGCTCAACTAACAACTTAAATTGCCAGATCGTTTAATTTGCAAAACCGCCAGCTTTATGACTCACCAAATCTGTTAAAACAGCTTTATGACTGACGAAATCTGTTAAAATTCATTGCAAAAAGCGATTTGCCGTCGGCATTGCAAAATGTAAAAAGACCAGTAGGACAATTGCAGTAATCGTTTATGGCGCGGAACTAAGCGATTTATTGAATAATCTGTACATTACGGTTTCATAGGCGGTCTACTACGAACCCCCACAAATCTAAATATGCTTAGTGAAAATCACGCATCTTTTATTATTTACTATGTCGGTTGCACTAGAATACTTTTTGTGCTTTTTGATAATTAAAAGAGACATTCATTCATTAGTGTTGGAAACTGGCAAATAAAAAAGCAAGATATTGGAATATTCTTGCTTAAAAAAAAGGAACGACTCACTCTTTTAATTGTAGTAAAAGTAGGTAAAATTTTTGCAAGTGCATGTAACAGCCAAAAGGACTTGAAACATGTCAAGCTAGTCGGTGCAGAATTCCCTTCTTAACCGACAACTCAGACAAACGAACCTTAAATAAGTAACAATTGTAATAAAAAAAAAATTATAAACGATGAACTCGTACTCGTGCGAATGTGCTAATTCGAAGTAACTCTGTGTGTGGTTTGCTTGCTTAATACTTTGTAATACAACCTCGATCTGCGAGAGTGAAGAAAAATGAGTTTTTCTCAGTAACTGTGTTTTCAGATGAGACCGTTTGTTTCCAATTATTTTGCATCTTTTTTTCTCTCTTTCTGTCTCTCTCTTTTAAAGTGCAACTAAATAAACTATTGCGATATTTTATAGATTGCATTTGCTGCGTTTTGTATTACACACTACAATAAATCTAACAATTTCCTATATTTCTCTTTCAATCTTCTTGAGAAATTGCATTTTATTCTCAGAAAATTCAAAAAGCCACTCCGATAGTAGGAATTCTCTGAAAAATTGAATTTTATTCTCATCAAATTCAAAAAACCACTCGATGGGCATCGAGGAATACTCTAAGAAATTTAATTTTATTCTCAGCAAATTCGAAAAACCCACTCATTGGGCTTACTCGAAAATGAAACACGTATGTGAATTCAAAAATAAATAATATTTTTATTTTGAAAGAGAAGTTTGTTTGCGGATTTCGAGACGACTATAAATAACGGAAAGTTGTGTGTCCTGTAGAAAAATATTAAATTTAAAAATAAACGAAGATACAATAAGAAAAACTTTGTATTAAAAATAAAGATCAGTATTTGTGATTTATTTATGTCGTTAAAGCTATTTTGTGTGGATACGTGCAATCTAACTTTCGTTATCCTTACATAGTTTAGGAGAGGACATATATTCCACGAAAACAAAAACTAGGGTGTGTTTTGTATTCTCTTTCCGAAAATTGCACCTGTCAAAAAAAAAAAAAGTACCTATAAGTTTGACGAGAACGAGAAAAGGAAGAAAAATAATTCGTGTACTTCAAAATGTCTGTATCATCAAACGCATCATCTGCTGGCTCCTCAATATCTGGTATAACCAGCTCCAATGATAGACGGTCATCTTTAGGTCATCCCAACAGTGATTCGGGTAGTGATTCGTCTGAACTAACGCACATACTTAATCGTCGTCAAATAATTATAGATTCTCAGGAAGCCGGCATAGAGGTACCACAAAACTTCAAGGTGGTCAATGTGTACACAGAATTTCATGAATTTTCTCGAAAACAAATCAAAGATTATCAAAAAACATTTAACACGTAAGTCTTATCTTCAATTAATAAACCTCACATTGTCGCATCAAAGTTTGTTTTACGAAATTTAAGGGCATTAAAGTATCAAAAATGTCGCAAAGAGACCATATTCGTTAATTTATCAAAAATAATTTTTGTAGCTTTCAATCTTTACTCACTTCACCCACTTGCTGACCGTTGCTGTTTTTGCTGCTCAAATGCGTATTTTTTTTTGTTTTACTTAGTTTTAAAAGACTATTAAAGGGAATGTCAGACACCAAAGCATCGCTGAACACTGGCTTGTGTTAAAATGTTGTCTTCAATTATTTTTCGTTGCTTTTCATTATTATATATCAATCACCAAAATTGAAGTGTAATGGTAGCTGCCACAGACTTTGAAACTAAATGAGATAAGTCACCCATGAATTAATGAAATTGACATAATAAATAATTTTTATAAAGTTTTAACTTTTGTTTGTACTTAACCCCAAAATTCCAAAAGTCGACTATGTCAAGTAATCTGCATTAAACGAAAGGGAAGGCCTATTCTTCATATTTAATTTACATGTTGTATTTCTAAATAAACGGAATTTATCTACATTAACTACCACCAACCGCCTTATCTCGTAAACTTGTCGGATTATTTACATTAAGGAGAGCTTTGAAAACATACACTTTATTTACACGTTATCATTATCATTGCCGTAATAAACTCGCTATTTGACGTAACAGAATTTTCTTTCTTTTCAAGACCATATTTTTTTAAGATTATCGCAGTGCATTAATCTCTTATATACACTTACCTACTTACTACTACTGGCGTAAAGAGTATGCTCCTAAAAAGGAACTTGACATGTTTCAACCAACCAATGCTAAAGGGGGTAAACTTATATTTTGAAAGAAAAACGAGTTTGGAAAAGGGTTCGCTTACACAAAACATATTCATGCTTACATAAAAAAATGACGCCTACGCAGTAGTTACAGTACACTTTTCGCTTGATTTTCTTTGCATATGATTGGAAATACGATTTTATGGGAAATAAATATTTTGACGTATGGACTTATTGCAAACAGCGCAACCTAATTAATAAATACTTATCCGATTTATAATCTGCTAATTTGTGTATCTATGTCCACTTTGTTATTCTTCGGAGACAATGCGAGCACGTACATGCAATTCTGAACTAAGTTAATTATCTTTGATGAGTCATAAATGTCGATATGTTTAGTTATTCTTTCTTTAAGAAATATCAGGAACGAGTGCATGCATACATATGATGCAAACTGATTAGTATATGATTTCCAATCGATATTTAGCATTGATTTGAAACTTTTTGGATAATATTTCAATAATGCATTCATAAGTTAAACAATAAACAAAGTTTCATCGTGTGCTAATAGCAATCACCGTTTGGTTATGTGCGTCTTTACGACGTCGAATATATGGAGGCAAATATGCAAAAGAAATAAACAAACAGAAATATAATGCAAACACCACGCTTTGATTTAAGCACAAAGGCAGAAGCCAGTTCTAAATTAAATTCTTAAATCAAGTATACAACTGCCGGGACGATTTTAAAGAATGGAAGAAAGAATGAGTAAATTGATTACCGACTGACTAATTACACATGTTTATGTGGATATAGGAAAAAAAAAACACCGCAATATGTATATGTATATTTCTATATCTATATAAATAATTGGGATGTTTTTTTTTATTATAATGGTCGAATCACTCTGCTTTGGATATCTGCCTTATTTTCATCGCCAAGAGAGAGTAATTTTGCTGTTTAATTTGTTGAACTTATCGAAATGAGATGAGGAGATGAAATATATCCATACAATATATGTTTTCTGATCAGCATGAGATTCTGATTCGATTTAGACCTACCTGTCTGCCATATGAATTCTTAAACCCGCATATATTTAAAGTAGAAATTTGCGACTTATGTTTGTATTTTTGTGCAATGACTTCATAATTACTTTAAATTTTGGATCAACTTCACCAAGCTGAAGAGCAGTTAAGCTTTATATGGGCTTTATATGAACATATTCACATTGATTAATACTACAGCCATTGACGTTTTGCATATACGTATTTCTATCTACCTATACTTGTTTATATTTTTTATAACTTTCGATATTATGAAGATATTTCGGGACACCTGTTATCTAAATGTTCATCACATCTACATTTATGTGTGATCCGAGAAAAGTCCCGAACGACTTACTGTTACGCTTAGAATTAATGATAAAATTTCCAAAGTGCGCACGTGCACGCAAACAGATCAAGCCCAATTGTTAACCTCGTAATTCTCAATTGATCGAGTAATTCCTAAGCCAAATTTCAAGTTTCCATCTTCTTTTTTTAGTGCTTTCATTTCATCTTTCTCTCTCTCTCTCCCCACCCTTTCATATTATTACCACGTTCCACGGGGAGGGGACATCTTCTAACTGATTGAGGAAGAAGAAACAGCATGAATGTATCTAGGTTTGATCTGAATAGATCAGAGAAGAAGAGTTTAGAACGTCCGTCTCTCTGTCCGCATCTTAAAATCACGAGAAAGGACTTAAGGTTTCATCTAGAAAATCAAATCTTCTCCTCAATTTTCTTTTATCAATCTTGCTTGGAATACCGGCTAGATCGGGTGCGTAGATCTGCCCAGAATTACCTAAAAATGAAGGGATCTCCGCCTTACCTTTGATCCACGTAACCAATTGCCGTCTAATTACATAAGAGTAATGTTTGAAATTCGTACGTAATATGATATATGATGATATTTACGATACAATGCGCCGTCAGCAAATCGAGTGAACGGGTTTTCTCTCCACATCTCTCTCGCAACCAAACCAAACTGTTTGTTCTCTTACTAAAGGATTCGGCACAAAAATAACTATTTCCTTACACCTCTTTTGTTGTTATTTTTTGTATTAAATTATATAGTGTGCATAATTATCACACAAGCGATTACCGATTCGTTTAAAAAAGTCAAAAATTTGTTAGAATATTGCATCATATGTTAACATATCTCTTAATTAATGACAAGTCATTCTTTTTTTTTATTTGTAGAAGCGATTATTTCAAACTTTAAAGCATCATTCGTTAGAATTGTTCGCCATATGTTCTACATCACACATGACTCATGTTAAGAGATAGGGAACATTAATCTCGTTTCTAATCATTACTCTCAAGTTTTGCTAACAGATATGCTGCGTGGATTTGATTGATATTTAAGGCCGGCTTCTTAATATTTATTATTACAATTTTGTTATGATTATATTACTTGTGATAATGTAAGCCAAAGAGTAGTACTTTGAATATAGCGACAAAGACGCAAAGCAATAGTTAGCTATTTATACATTTTAAGGGATCAAATTTCTACTATTACGGTATTATTGAAAAAACTTGAAATAACTTTTGTAAGCTGTGAGATAGGATTAGATTATCGATATACATATCCATGCAAGATATATTAGCGCTAGATTTCCAGACGTTTTGCATGTACCTACTTATGCGTAAGTCCGGCATATTTGAAGGGTAACTTTTGTGAATCCTCGCAGTCGCGAGAAGAAAATGAAGTTAGGAAGCAGACATTTCGCGCAAACATTCTTTGATCGATTAAGAATGCGAGATCGAAAAAATGGATGCGACGTGTTCGCATACATGCCAAAATGCCAGGAATTCAAAAGAAATGAAAACAACCCCAAACCTCCAAACTCCAGTTTGGACAGTTTTTTCAAATTTTCGGTCTCGTGAATATGTTTCTGAAAATCTGATATCATAATATTCGCGAGGACCTCCATGGTCGATGCAGTTTATTAATTTTATTATTATTCCGAATTTTGTTTTCCATTTATTCTATCGCATATTAGCATTCATGAAGAAATTTTTGATAACCAATAGGGATTCATTCTGACCACTTTCATGTTCAGTCCAAAAATGGTTCCAGTTGGCTTGCTTGCGTCTGCAATGAGCGACAAAATCCAGTCTAATGCGCTGCACTATGCTTACATATTATATACAAACAAATTTAATTATAAAGTCCTTGGACGAACAATTTTGCAATCAACTAATTTTCATTTAACCATTTACACGTAATGAGCAATTTGGCCAAAGATTTGTTTGTTGAAAATTGAAGTTCACGGAATAGACGTTCTTTGACAACACTACTCGACGCCGATGCAGAGATCAAAAAATGATACGCGTTATTAAAGTTATCAGAAAGAACCCAAGAAGGATTACATTGATTCAAGTTTAAGTAAATGCAATTGATGAGTTGCGCGGCGAGGCGCTTTAAAGTCAACTTCACCGATATATCCAATCTTCTATTCTTCAGGTCACATATTAAATTAATGATATCTAAAGCAAATCTGCGCTCCTCAAATAAGGGCAAGTCAATATATCTAAGTCTACGTTGATAGGCTGGTAGAGAGTGCGTGGGTTCTCAGCCCAGGTCCAGCCTGCATATAATAAAAGCAGGTTTTGGTCCCAGTCATATAGTTAGTTAATATAGCAATAAGAGGTCGAGTATCAAACTAGTGAAGCGTACTTAAAAATGGGTCTAAGCAGACTCATGAGTCTGAATGATGAATGAATAAAAATCTTCTCGTTGCATAATGGGTATGAATATTTTCTCGCATTTTTAAATTACGACTTCATTACAGATTTAGTCTGAAATTGTTCCTTATTACAAACACAAATGAAATCTACTAAATCGGTGCACAGGGGCAGACGGTTCACGCAGAAGTGTCAAGGATGAAGCAAAGGGATGTTTTTTTACAAAGTTTTCATGTACTTCCGCAGTGCTGCCATCTACATTTCAGCAAATCTCAGTACTATATATGAGAAAAAAATTCAATCAACTCTATGCCTTCCTGGTATCTTCCTAATAAGTGTTTATCATTTTGCAGTGAACACTGTCGTTCCCCGCTTACAAAAATGCGCATAATATCTTCAAGTTTAATACTTTTTGTCTATGGCATTTGTTATCATTCGCTTTCTATAGATGTTTGTTTATTATTAAGTG